GATTTCTACCCCATCTCAGGCTATCTCCACCTGATGAGTCCGGACCAGGACGAAACCGCGGTCGTGGGGTGCCAATGTTGTGATGAGCAACACCAAAATATTTCCACTGGTTACTTACTTGTTTAGTTGATTGCTAGAATCCAATCAGGCTACATCGGTGAAAGTTAAGCTACAAATGCCTAGTTGATACCATTAATGAGTGTGGTAAGAACGCCGTAATGGATAGTGCTTTGAATAAGGGTCGGCCTATTCCTCGAAACACCTTGACTAACATATGTAGTTGAACAATAGTGTTGCATGATCGCTGCGGGCCAAGGGAATCTTATGGATACCGTTTTGATCATATGCTCCTCCTCGATGAACAGGAGATTTAGGATACCGTGTTTCTTCCCCCTCTTGGATCATGTGGGAGAAGTAACGTAATGGTAGACTGGTACTCTAATGATCAGCTCCTGTATTTCCATTTGAAAGTGTGCATCGATACAGGCTAAGGTTTCTAGGGTGCGAAGCTTGAGGTCACCAACCAGGCGAATGTGGCTGTGCGAGAATTTTCTTCGGAGTACAGGTTAGGCGGTTGTGTATTTCTGAAGTGCTGGACGGAAGAAACTACACGACACTCCTTACACATGTGTCACTGCGTCTCAGGTGAAGTCGGCACCAAAGCGCATCGACAATCGGAACCTTCGGCTTGTTGATGGGATCAAGATGTGGCTCGCTGAGTCATAGTGTAGTACATCACTTCCTTTATTCGATTCATCTTCGCGCACAATAGACATTCCCAGGTGGTACGATTTTGGCGTCAGTGACCACTTCACTCAATCATGTCTCGGTTACCAAGAGGAGTTCCCATGACATCGAGGTTTGCCGCAGCCGAAGTTCTATCAGTTTGCTGAAAAGGCCTTGTGCGTTGATATAGAAGCAAGGGAGTACCTTGTGCGTTAGAGAATTAGCGAAAGGTGTTGACAGCAGGATGAGACTTAGCCGAATCTCGTGAGGTCGGCTGTTACTGGTTTCTTAGGGGATTCGCCGGATCCCGAGATTCAGCTGGGCTACATTACAGCAGCAGATACTCCGGGTCATAATAACCCTGACAGTCACTCGCATCCTGCGGTGTCCCATGGGATGTTGTGACGGAATTTATTGTTACTCAAATTAGTCGTGGCTCACCGCAGTGCAGTGAGTTTGGGTGACATGTGATGCGTCTCCTTGTAGTAGGGTCACCAAAGACACCGATAGTTGTATTTTTCGCTGGATTTCTGGCTCTAAAAAGGAATATCTGACCTGGGATTCCACATCTGGCACATAATTTTTAACGTCATGTCAGTAGGATTTTGTGCTTCTTGTATAGCCTCAATCTTCCTTTGTCGCAAGCCGTCACATAATTAAGCACAACTAACAGTTACTGGTGTAAGTCTGAGCACGTGGTGTGTGAAATTAGTTGGGCTTACTGGAATCGTGGTTCAGGAAGAATAACTCTGCAACAGTCGGTTCACTGTCACACACGCAACTTTACTCGATGGTGTGACAACCGAATGAGGAGATGAGGAGTAATAAAACTGTGATATATGCACGAAAGCCAAGTGGTCACTGAGGCTGACACAGTGCGGTGGTTGCGACAGTTGTGGAGTAACTAGTGAGCTTGGGAACAGCATTTCAAGTAGTGATTACCTTCAGCCAGTAGTAGGAACACCTCAATCTCGGACAGAGGATCTGGTCACATTGCTGAATTGTGCACATGCGCGGTTAGCGGATGGCCCATCCTGTTCGTGGTTGATTGGGGTTACGAAAGACTACCCTGACCTTTCAAGCACAACAAGCTCTTGGGGAACAAAGTTATTTTGGGCACGTTATTCGGTGAGCTGCTTAGAACAATTGTTTCGTAGCCGTGAAATTTGAGGTCTAAATATCCCAGACGAAATGGTGAATAGTACTTGGAGAGTGCGGTTTACACACGGCGACTTTAAGTACCGTTGAAGGGTATGTGATAAACCGCACTCACATCTGCATGTGAAAAGTCTATCGGTTCCTCCTTGGTAAGTGCCCTCGCCCGGTGAAGCAGTGGAAATGAAATCGTAGTTTTGTTAGTAAATTTAAGGAGGGGAGTGATACCTCCTTGTTGACTTGCCTAAGACCTGTAGATGTTTTGGTGGAGCCCAGGTAACGGAGTCGATGCATACAAGATCCAAGAAAAAGTCTTATATTAACTTAACTTTCAAGAACGATTATGCTATTTGGAAGACCACTAAACGTATTACCTTCGTTACGCTGTGTTGCTCAACTTGCCCACAGTATCTGAACTCATATTTTGCCTTTAATTTTGAGAAAGAGAGCTCATTCTCTCTGGTCCAATTCACACAGTATATGCCATTTTATGCGTGATTGTGGGTCGATCACTATATAGACAACCGATAAGTGTTTCAGTTTTCAAATACGGGAACACGTGATAAATTGGATTTAACACAAAACGAACGATCTTTCATGCCCCTCTGTACCTCCGCGCTTGCGCAGACCTCCAGCTTTCTCCCCCATCGCACACCTACGGTTCACGCCGTCAGCGGATACCCATCGGATCAGCGTTCAGAGTTGCATTGCGTCACCCTAATCATCGCCATCTTAATTTTACCGTTATTGTCAGAGTAAGCCGGAGGAAGTGAGCTGTGCGCGTTCAAAACAATTATTTGTCAGACGTAGGGATTAAATTTTAGTCATTCAAATTGCACCTCAATATTGTTTGATCACACTCACAGTTAAGCTCGCGATTGCATTTCGGTTATTGTTAATCGTATTGTGAAAGGGAAAATGCATGATTCAGTTAGGTTTCGTCTGGCTAGTATGCTCATCGGATTCCTATAGGGAACCAACTGCGCATCTAATAATGAGAACCGTCACCCAACCAACCTACTTTGACCACCATGGACGACTGATGCTTTGGCGGGCCTTGACTGGTTGGCGTCCTTGGTTACTACTTTGAGGTAGGCAAGTTGGACACATGTTTTGTCTCATGCGTAGTTCTTATGTATTAAGCCAAATTGCAACCGTTTGCTGTCCATGATCTCAAGTAGAAGCTACAAGTATGAATTTGTCAGTGGATAAATCCGTTTTCTTTTCAACCCAGCCTGATGAAGTATACTCGGAACAAAGCGGGCAGTTGGACTTGGTTGCTTTTTCGCCGAACTCAGATTGTCTCAATCCATTGTTCGTAAATACCTACAAACTGCAGTTGCGAGTGAAAGTTTTTGGACCAAGCCTGAGAATTCTTACCCAAGGCCAGTTGGATTTTGGGACTGTGTATATTAATGTTTCACGCACAATGGAGATACGAATCATCAACGAAGGTGAAAGCCGATCACTCTGGATAGCACGTATCGAAGATGTGTCTGAGACAGGTACGTTCAACAATTAGAACTACATCCTGATGAATCTTACCGTTTTAAATAAGTGGAACAAGATCGCGCTTGAGTCAAAGCTGTACTAAGATGACATATAAGAAAAGCAGCTGTTCATGTTTTATTCTTTACCCCCTTGGAGCACTGTAAGAGTGGTAACAGTGAAACTACCAGGTGGATGGGCATACGTTCTACCGTCAGCTTCGCGATGTGTTCTTAGCAGCGATTAATCCTAACCCACATATGCACTGTAAACTGATGTGGCTATCTGCGTTCTACTCTTCACCTGCGTCCGAATGCCATGCTCATTTGAAATACATGATTTAGAGTAAGAGGTGATCTTGAACTACTCCTGTATTGTGCACATCCCGTACAAGAAAAGCTCATCCAAGTAAAACATTATCGACCGCGGCGGAATATTCTTGGTAGCAGGACGGATTTCTGTTTCTCGTATGATACTGGTTCCAATAGCCTCTCGACGTACCCATTAGCTTGACGTGACGTTAAACGGGGACGCGCACACAGATAATCGTCAGTGAGTAATGAAAGAATTGATTATGTTTTTATGAAGATTCATCGCAGCTAGACTCAGTTTGACAGCGATCACGCATCTAGGAAAGCACTAAACGCCCTTACATCTTACGGAGACTCGTCACCAGCACGCACTTGCGAATCCTACCGGATCCAAAACCAAGACCTAACTCTTACAAGAAATAGATCTACACCACTGGGCCATGGGTGAACGTGGCGGACCACCATTCTTAATGTCTAGCTGTGATACAGCACGGCGCATCCTTCACAGTCATGCAGGTATGAACCTGCAGAGGGCAGGGCTGGCTGAGCCAAGCTGCGATCAATCTTCACAAAAACACCATAAAGCTTCTACTACTCCTTAATAATCAGTACTCGCTTTAGCAGCTCACTTGCTATCACGATTGGCGGCGGCTTGCTATGGAAGTCGTAGCTTTGAGACCACCCCACTCCTCTGTATGTTCACAACCTGCAAGACAGTGGAGAATGAGCTGCGCTACATCGTAGTTAGATATAAACCATGGCGGTCCGCGGCCGTTACCCATGGCTCAGTGGCGAAAATCACTGGCTTGTACGAGTAAAGTCATAGATTCGAATACGGTTGGATTCGGCGGGTGCGCGCTACTGATGAGTCCCAATAGGACGAAACGTCCGCTTAGCGCTTTTCTGGATGTGTGGTGGATGGCTGAGGCTAGCTTCATTGAATCTTCTCGAAAACTGGTAATCGCCATTAAGTTAACTAGTAAGGGCATGTTATATGTAACGCGATCTTGGAAGCAATTACACGCCTGCCATCTGGTCGCGTATGCCGTTGACAGTGCACAACCGTAATCATATCGAAAAACTGGAACCCACTTACATACAGAATGCAGATAATCTTTCACTTCCATCTTGCAGATGTTCAAATTGACGCTATGGACGTACCGAGCAAGACCCCACGAGCGAAATCCGGTTCCTTTGATAGTAACCCGTTCAGGCTCCCAATCAACCGCGGATTTCTAGAGAAATGCTCCAACAACGAGTCTAAACACATCGCCGCAATACCCATCGGTTTCTGTCCACCGTAAGTTCAAGTAGAGTTGTTCGCACTAAATAACCATTGTATGATCCATTAACTATAGTGGTAGATCCGTGCAGTGAAAGTCTGTTCGTGGTTGGAAAAGTTCCAAAAAGATTCCTCTCATGTTGTGTGAATTATGTATGTTATCAGCGCAAAGTAACCACGCCGCCCTCAGCCAGTCTGATTACTGAGGATATCCACCACAATGGTCGCCAGTCACCCAAATGAATCGCATAGCTCTTTCCCTTGGTCCGCATGACTGGGGGCGGTCAGCCTTAACCAAACCTTTCAAACTCCTCCGAATTTGTGCAAAAGGCATCCACATGTCGAGAGACATCAACACAATAAGCATTACTAACAGTCTGCAGCTGCGAACCGGTAGCTCCGAACATATCAACCTGGCTGCTACAAGCCAGGGGATCTGTGGTCTGTTGGATAGTGTCTGGTGATCCTAATGTCGAAACTACTTGTATCACATTAATTTTGCTAGTTTTTGTTAGTTACTTGTGGGTTGGATTTGAGAATTTGACATGTCCAGTTATGATAACAGGCTGTGTGGAATCAACTACAGGGAATAAAATGAATGATAAATAACATAGATATCCAGTCGCCTGAGGGCTTTAAGAAAAGATGTAGTTGTTAGATGGAAAGGCCGAGTGAAATAAGCAATTTAATAACCCCACCCATTTCACGGACTGAGCTAGGTCAAAATAAGGACATAACAACTGGATTCGCTAGGTGCGCAAGCCCCATGTAACAACATTCTAGGCTCATTGCTGTTAGCTCTAAGCCATTTAGCCTGCTATTTATCCAGGAAGGAAGTAGACGACAGTTTTGTCCCATTGAGGCTCGTCAGTATTGCGCATCCCCGGCTCCACCAAAAACTGAACCCAAGACTTCCGGAATCCACCGGTGTACGCCATCGATGGGTTTCCCCAAAACGTAGCTCGATATCTGGCTGAAGCTAACTATGATCAAGAATCGATAACTTAAATCGTGACTGTGTTACTCACAAAATTCGCATGTACATGCGAATCAAACTTCTCCGCCATATACCAGTCAATATAGTTCTTACCGCAATATATTTGCCTGCAGTGGGCCCGTACGCCCTTTTGTGCATACCGTTCGTTGAGTGGCCTATTTTCAAGCGGACAATAGCATATCACATGAGTATATGGCAGGGAGTGCAGATGGCTCATGCAATCAGACACACCTGCAACATCGTGGGATGCGGCGCAGTTCTATCACGTTTCGAACAATGAACAATGAATTTTTATGGGTTAAGAAGCGCTGCTTTACAAATCACATTTGATAGTTGGTGGGGATATCAAAATACTACTACTATTACTACTACTACTACTACTAATAATAATAATAATAATAATAATAAAGCAGTATTTTAATTTGAAAAGAAGGACTTATCGTTTGCTCCGCTGTAGTTCTGCAGTCCGCGTAGATTAACAGCACCCACAGTTAGCATCAAATAAATCCAAGGTACATCCCAGAAGGTGCGCTAAGTGACAAAGTGTAAGTGGATGAGTGCGTCATTCAACTGTCGTTTAACTACTGTTAGTGTTGGTGTAGAGACAACCGATTCTGTGAGAGCATTACACGGGTGACAGACACGAATGGAAAAGAAGTTTCTGTGGCCCTCCAGGCGGCTATACTGTTCTGCGAGTTTCAAGGATTGTCTAGCCTTGTCCAACACTTAAAATCCTCAACGACTTTTTACAGTGAGACTAGACCTAGACCAACTAGTAGGCATGCTCTTCAGACTCACGTGGTACAACCTTTGCTTTGCAGTGGTTAAGTTTACTCGTGGGTCAGTGGTGATGAGGTTTATTGCATGTAGCCACATGTGCCATGCGCTCGGTATGCATGCGCACGCTACCACTGAGCGGATTGTAGAGTAGCTAACCATCTACCGCTAGGCTTTCACGCGGCTGAGACCAAGTGACCTGACCGGTCAAGAGGATGATATAACTGGCAGTCACGCACCTTTGTGCAGGATCAAATGGCATGAAATTTGGGCCAGTGGTGTCAGGAGGCAGTTAGTACGTGTGGGCCGCAGCGTATGTTGTGGTGTCGCCACTCAGTGTTGGAGGTCTGGGTTTGATGGATTTGACGACTCGATTCTGGCTGCGGCCGCGCGTGTACCGAACGTTGGTAACTCCGCCCCGGTTTAATGGCATGCTGAATCTCCACCTAGTTGAAAGAATAGTCAAGATTGCACTTGCATACCGCTCTCATTACACCTTCGTTCCGTTGGGGTTGCTCCTGGGGAATTGTTCCTATGGTTGCCTCAAGATTACTAAGAAATCACGCGGTCTTGGTACCACCTTTTTCCACTCTTCGTGCCTTTCACTTGGCCCATGGGGTGTAGTAGGTCTGGAGCTGCACAACGCGGTCCAATGCCCTCTTTAGAGTCAGGCTTATTTTCTATGTCTTGTTAGTGTACTTTTTAACTAGTGGTTGTGGACCATCTGTAGAGGCCTACGATGCCTTCCATAGGTTCATATAAAGATGTTTATAAAGCAAGCGGACGAAACCAACGCAGGATCCACTAGATAAAAGAACGTCGGTTCTATTATGGATATAACGAAGAGTATTTCTCGTGATGGAGATAATCACCAGTGACCATGGTGTACTCAACTTATGGTGTACTCCAACAAGGCATCTAGATCTGAGATACATAGATCGTGGGACAGTGCAGAACCTCCACATTCTGAAATTTACGAAGGCAAATTACCTTGGACACGGCGAGCACTAAAAGCAATCACAGACCTTCAGCTGGGGGCTATGAACAAAATGGGTTATTGATTTATGTGACTGTTCCATCAGTTGAAATAGGGAGAACATCTGCGCACTATATTCTTTGCTCATTAGGGACCCGGCAAGCTTTCACTGACCCCGTTTATTAGTGGAACATTGACCCGCCAAGGAATGATGTGAGTGAGCGTTTCGCAAACACTAGCGGCAAAGCCAGAACCATAAGGCTTTGCAATTAGCATTGTGCCATAAATAAAATGTGAACGATGGATAACAATTGCTGGCTTGGTGGTATTATACTGCATCCTACGGTATTGAGCAAACCATCAAAGTGAACAACCAGTAATTCAAAGCAATTCCTTCCTCTTAACAATTTGAAAAAAAGTGAGAAGATGAAGTTTGGCAGATGCGTACATTTCGTGTCGTCTCTTTAGTGTCGAAAAGATAACTGGCAATGTAATATAACGGTCAAGTGATGCCAACTTGTAAACAGATGAAAAGGAAAGACCGAATTCAAATCCCTTTATCCAGAGCAACTTGAGGCTGACCGATAGTTGGTTTGGAACACAAAGCTCAGGTTGGATCCGGCTTATTGCAAAAGCCATCGCTTCCATACAATCCCTCAACTTACTCTTTTTAACCCAACTTGATGCCTTTCGAAGATAGAAAGTGTGGCCCTGTCGTAGGGTAGGGAAAATCATCAGACAATGGAAGGTGTTCGTAAAATCTGCAATCAACCTGCTCGGTCCAACAATCAGTTGGGTCCGTCGGAGGGGAAAATCAATTCCCCGTCTTTCTTAGTGGACAATTCACTCAATGACACCTTTCGTTGACCCATAACTTTGGTGCGTTAGAACCACCCATCTGGTCTTCATCGCATAGGCCTTCTTCATCTCCCTGGCTTTAACACAACGGCGCTCCCAATCCATACCGCGACCAATAGTGTGACGCTGTTTCTAGGTACTAAAGTCACCCCGAAATGATCAGGTGATACGACCACTTGGTAATGCAAGCAGGATAAACGGCCCTCCAGAGATCCGACCGCTATCTTAATGAACTACGTAAAGTGAGCAAACGAATACCGGGGCATAATCGCGGCGCTTTGGAGAAGAATTCGTTATGGAGCCTACTTATTCACAGCATTTGGCAATGACAGTCACTGTTCTAACCGAATACGCCATTTGGCGGAGTAGGAAGTGCACAAGTTGACTCAACTTCGGCGTCTCTTGCTGAGAAAGCGAGGAAGGTCACGGACAGCGTGTGTACCATGGGTTGAGCAGAATCTAGGTGTACTCTCGAAATCGAATGCCACGCTTGAACGGATGTATACCAATCGTGGATGTTAGTGCTACAGTCAGACTGTATCCCAGGTGGGCTGTCGTTCGATGGCCGCCAGTTTAAGTGAATCGGATGTTTGGGCTGGCAGGATATGCTGATTTTGTGAAGACAGTGTAAACGATATAACTCAAAAAACGGATCACCACTATCAGTTCAAGAGACAATAACAACGAAAACAGCATTAGTAAATCATCCTTTTCAACTGATGCTTCGTTGCCACACAACGACAGTGACCTAAGGAGGTCGAAGTGCCGAGGTCCCCTTGCTTGCTTACCGGCACACGAAACCGGACGCACGCTAGGCGAATGCCAATTTAGCCCATGGAGACTGACCTGATCTACTTTGTCCTATGGAATGAACAAGCGTAGGAGAGAAGGGGTTGTAAAGTTTAAAGGCCGTAAGAAAGCATCAGGGCCAAGACGTTTAAAGCTTGTCAACAACATATGGTCACAAACAGCTAAAATCGTGCGAAAAGAAGGTGGCATAAACAAGGCATTGGAAGCACGGCGTCCCCTGTATCACTTTAAACAACGCAATGAGAAGACGGATGATATCCTTTTGCATTCTCTGATTTCATGCAAACGAGGAACACAATAAAGGTTCACTGAGGGAAAGGAATCAGTAGTTTTAATTTTGTAAGAGGAAGCACATACCGGTACAGGCCACAGAAGAATCACAATTAGTGGAACAAGTGTTCCGGAACCCAAGAACGCTTGAGTGTGTCAGTCAGCTATTTTTGCACACAAAGCTCAGCGTGGTTCCGATTAATAGCCACTACCTCAGCGAGCTTGAGTATTTTGGTGTTTGTATCGCGGTAGATAATCGTAAATGCCACGTCCGGGTCGAATTGATGACCTGTGCTTAGTGGATGCTTAGCAATAGATGAGGTCGGCATT